CTCTAGAACATCTGGACAGGACAAGGTTGCTCTAACATGCACATATGCTCATTTGCTTTTAATACGAGCTTTCCATTCCCAAACAGCATCAGACCCTTTTACATTCACTTGTACCTCAGATACTCCAAGACTAAGCCTCCTCTTAGTCTCAGTCCTTCTAGAAGTTTCAGGCAGCTGCTCACAACATCTGGAGAATGTAAGTTTCTATTTCCCTCTCTCTTATCAGTGCTAGGATGTGATGATGCTTAAGAAGTGGTTCAGGGCAGGATAATCTACAGCAGAAAGAAAACTGTCGGCTACTTAACTTTCATGATACTACTGCTGAAGTATCAAAATTTAGAACAAGAGGGAAATCCCAGTTGTCAGTCTGTGAATAGAAATATTGAGGAAAGGTTGGAGTTCAGAACCTTTAAACAAAAGACTTTTCTTCCTGTTCCGGCAAGCAGAACAGAAGATTCACAAGCGACTGAAATTAACCCCAAGAGGCTGAGCTAGCGGAGACGACTGGTCAGTTTTCAGTAAAATGTGCTGGCCTCCAATAACTGCATAGGTTTTCAGATTCCACATAAGTTCTTCGGCGAAGGATACCAAATTGTGCTGTTGAAGTGGGAATTTCTAAGAAGGAAGCAAAACCAAATGCAAGAATGCTATCCAGAGCTAGCAAAAAACGGAACACCATTTTCAGATACCTCAGCATCACATCCTAATACCACTAAATAATTAATTTAAATACATTTGTTTACCTAACCTTATAGCCCATTTATAGGCTTTTGATGCAGTTTACAACCATACTTCTGCCATGAAAATATATGCAGTACAATAATTAAAACAAACAATTCTACGCCTAAGAACAAGGCAGCACTACCAGCAGACGATAATACAGCCTTGTCAATGTTAATACACCACCACCAAGTATCTGCCAGTGCAAATACCAGAATAAGGTGAGCCCATGCATTTATGTCACAGCTAAAACCTTTTTGACTTGCAGGATAGCTAGCACCTCTTTCTGAACTTCCTTAATGATATAAATGTACAGTTGTGATGAAATCAGGCAATATTTGGACATGTGGCGGTCCTTGTTTATATAAAATGATGAGGCCATAAAGATCCAGTACAAGGTGTTGCCTGGCCTGCTAATAAGATTGATATATGGACAAAAAAGCATACTTGAGATAAAATACGAATATCTGAGATATGTATTATGTATCTGTGACACGTATTCTCTCTCAGTTGAAAACTATCTGGCTTTTTTGTTCAGGAAAGCAGCCTTTTAATAACAGAATACTCAGTTTCCTTTCCTACAGTTCAACAATTGCAAACTAATGTATAGTATAAGTCCCCTATAAATCATGTTCTCATTTATGCCGCCACATACTGTATTTTCCCCATTGCCTCACAATGAAAGCAGAGAGGATGTCTATTAAGCCTATTTGTTCATGTTAAGTAATTTCACACAGAAAATAGGAACTGACCAAGACATAAAACTGAGCTGGAAGATTCTTGGCCAGAAAGGGGGATGGGATAGCTACAATGCTGCAAAATCAGCTTATACCCAACAGTTTACATATATTTATAGTCCAAAACCACACATTTGACAGACACAGAAAAGACATCACATTGGTGCCTGAGCTTGAGGTAACTCATGCTCAAGACGGTGCAGTGGTAAGGGTCCTTTAAAGCAATTTCCTCAATAACAAATGAGAGGTGGAGATGGGATAATAGCTCAGTAGTATAACATATGCTTTCCTTGTACAGGCAGACAGAAACTGTGGAGAACCACTGCCAGTAGTGATCTTAGGTAGGTCAGGTGTCTGACTCCACATTAGTACAAGGCAATTTCATATATTCCTAATCCTGCACAGTTTTCAGTCTTGGAGACTTGCAGCATTGCACTTGGACTCAAATCAATGTTGTCTTTTAATGCCATCAAAGCAACCAATTCACTGGTTGGTGGTTTAGTTATTTCTTATCAAGGCATCTTCTGCATAAGATTACAGATAATGTGGAAGGTGAGATTTTAAAAAATATTTCTCTAATATTGCATTGATGGTGTTACAACTGACATGCGGGGGAAGTGTGAAACAATAGGTACATTGCAACCCTCATCTTCTCCTTTGCCACAAGACCACCACGCCATCAGTGATACTCATAGAAATCATTGAGTAAAAACACTTGGGGAAAATTTTATGCCAGACCTGCCTGCACAACTTGTTACCCATCAAAGCACATCAAATCAACCATGGAGAGCGAGTCACCAAGGGCACAGAATACCACCTGGTTTTGCAGGGTGCCTGGAACTGCAAAAAGAAGGCAGCTGTTAAGGAACGGGCAGGCCACAATATATTGCCAGTAGGCCAGGTTGGAGGCTGCAGATTATGCAGCATGTTGAATATAAACAGCTTCTCCGGAGCTGTATGTCATGTTGCATAATTAAGTGATTGTCTTAAGCAGGGTTAGATCCATGATTTGGGGAACCCCAGGCAAGAAGAAGAAGAAGAAGAAGAGTTTGGATTTGATATCCCGCTTTATCACTACCCGAAAGAGTCTCAAAGCGGCTAACAATCTCCTTTTCCCTTCCTCCCCCACAACAAACACTCTGTGAGGTGAGTGGGGCTGAGAGACTTCAGAGAAGTGTGACTAGCCCAAGGTCACCCAGCAGCTGCATGTGGAGGAGCGGGGAAGCAAACCAGGTTCACCAGGTTACAAGTCTACCGCTCTTAACCACTACACCACACTGGCTCTCATAATAGAAGCTATTAGCATGTAGAATTAACCAGTAGGAATGGAAGCGAGAGAGAGAGAGAAAGAGAAAACCAACCTGGAAGAAGTATCACCACAATCCTTGGGACATGCTTTCACTCCATGTGCAGGTAACTCCCGTCTATAACATACACCTTGACCTTCCAAGTAAGAATAATATCATGCTTGGCTCAGGGAGCCTTTTACCAATGAAGACCTTACTGGGCTAGAAAAAGTACTGGTCAGCCAGAATCTGTGTGAAATATGATGCCTATGCTTGCACTTAATGCCAGAAAGGCATCTGTGATGTACTGTGGGTTAGTGAAATGTTGACAAGCTGGAATTAGTTTGAACTAGAAGGGCTGTGAAGAATTGGCAGAACTTGAAAGGAACTGTAAGGGAAAAACTGTCCTGGCTGCCACTCAGACCACAACAGCGGGGCTCTTTCTTGACATCAAGGAAGGGATCTATACTGATGCAGAGTAGAAAGCACATGCACAGCAACAGGTAGTAAGTCACAACAGCCTCAATGCTCAGGCACTCCCCATCTAATCCAGAGCACCCATATCCTGGGAGTGAGAAGTACCTGCCTCCTTCAGCCTCCATTTCCTGCTTGCAGACATGCACACACCCCATTTCACCTTCCTCTTCTTTCTCTGCCACTCCATGCCTGAGCCCAGCGATGCCTCAAGGCTCATGATAAAAAGGATGTGAGAGTGTTATGGAGGGTGTGATGGGGTAGTGGAACATTGCCACTGGATGGCCTGAGATTCAAGAAAAATGGTAAGTGAAATTAATACTGTGGCCTTCGTTTGATATTACAAGCTTCCACTTTCACACAAATGCATGTCTTATGTAAACAAACATAGCACTTAGATACGAGCCCACTTTGAAGGATGGTCACATTTTTCTTAAGGAAGTGCAAAATAGATACGCTCACCTTTTAAATGTAAATTGAATCAAATCTCTACCTGTTCCAACACCTATCACAAACTGCGACATTCAGTATCTACAAAGTGAATGGGGCTTCTTCCAAAGCTGTCACACTTCTAACTTTCAACATAATGCCACCCACATTTGACTGTAACAGTGCTAGACTGGACAAGACAATTGTGTCATACTACACTGTAAGATGCACATAACTCTGGTAAGTGTGATGTGGCCACACCTGCAGTTTTCCTTAAAGACATTTCCTCTGCAACCATTCTTATGTAATGGTTTAAAAACTATTTGGCTGTAATCATGCATTATTAGTATAGCCCTTCCTTAAATAAACCTTTAGCCCCTGTGGGACCGACAAAAACTAACTTTTTGGAAAACAAGAAACGCAAACTGCATTAAAAAATATTTGTTTTTAATTCCAAGATAGATTACATGTTTAAAATGTGCTTGACTCACCTATCGTTAGAAATACATTTTTGATTTATCTCTTTTTTAAAATGTTTACTAGCAACATTTATTTTTTTTAAAGGCCAGGAAATTGGCATTTATTGATTCTGAAGAGCTATGTACCTGAAAACTAGATAATCAGTTCTATTTTATTGAACTTTTCATCCTGAAAAATTCTAGTGTAAATGTAAAGAGAACATTACAATTTTTAAAAAATTATTGCCCGAAGCTCTTATCAATGACATTTTATGCACCTATTTTCTTTCCACAAAGAATATCATGTAGTTACAAGCTTAGAATTCTTCAAATGAGTTCAAGCTCTTCAAATGTATTTGTTGTTTTTATTTATTCTTATGTTAACTGGAATCTATTACATGAATGTTTAATATTTAACCATGTATCTTGCCTTCTTTCATCACAAGATTCAAGACATTACTGAAGTTTCACATCAATGAAACTTCTCTAGCAAAAATGGCACATAAATGCCAAATGTAAAGTTAAACCATGTTTGATGCTAGAAAATTACCGTGGCAAAATACAAATCTACAGTAAAATGAATACATATTAAAAAAGACTTACTAGCCAGCAAAATATGGCAACAATTTGAGTGCAAGCTCCTCAAAGCATGAAATTATTTATGCCTCTCTAGAGAGTGTGTTCTCACTGGATACTACTACAACTTGAACAGTAAATTTGAGCCAGTTCAGTCCCAGCCAAATCAAAATCCCAGTTAATGAGTTTGGGTTTAGCTTTAATAACTAGGTAAAATGCAGCATTTAAGAACCAGATTAGCACTTAAATTATAGTGATCTTATAGCCGTGGCATTTTATCACACATTGTACGTATCCCTATCATTATTTTTTTCCTGTTCCATATGGTTTGGTCTCAGGTTTTCTATGGTGATCAAACTCTGTGCGCTAGGTCTATGGAAGGGGGAAAGAAGTAAAGCAAGCTCTTCAAGCATAAATGTCAAGCTGAGATTCCCATCTTCCTCTCTGCAGTTCTTATTCACCCATCCTCACCTTGAGTCACTCCTTCTCCACATCATCTCATCACCACCTATCTTCTCTGTCCACTTCCACTCCTTGTGAACATGTCTATAACCTGCAAGTAAATCTACAAATATATTGTCCAGAGTCTCATTAAAAACTATCTCATCTACAAAAGTGCCAACATAAAATCTGTATTGCTCATGAGCGACTAGATTGTGTCTGTGTGTTTTAATGACTTACTCACTCAGAATTTCTAATAAGTGTCAGTGAAATGATTACTGAGCAGTATCTCTGGATCATGCTCCACTTGACTCCATGTTAGCTGGCCTGTGGCTGGAGTATGTATTAGTAATATTCTACACAGCAAAAGTGTCCAATCTGAAGGTTAGGCTCTGGTTCAGAAACATGTACAGTGATCACTAACTTCTAGCACTCGTGAAAATTACTACAGGGACTTCACAATAGTACACAAAGGCATTGCATTCATCTCCAAACCAGGCATATTATAGGAGGTGCCAGACTCTCCTTCCCCCACAAGGGATAAATTAACAAAAAATGTCAAAGTACTCATTACATTTTCATGTGGTATGGATTACATCAACTGCTGTACTGAACTAATTTAGTTAACATGAATTTGCTCATAACTTTGGTACAATAAGACACAGGTTCTGTGTAAAAAGTGTGCAGCTGAAACCAAGCCAGGTACTCTGATCTCATTCCATATATGACACACAGCTCTCTATCACTCTCACTTATTTATAATGTTAATTATTTTACCTTTCTTTGTAGAGATTTTGTGTGTGTGTGTGTGTGTGTGATATAAAGAATGAGACAGGAGTATGAGTCTTACTTTCAGTCTCAACCTGTCCCACCTGACATCATATAGGGTGTCAGGTGTAAGTAGATGTGGCTTGGCTGAAATGGACTTCCTAGTCAACTGAAGATTGTGGTAGCCTGAGGGTTCTCTCCACACCCCCCCACACCCCGGATGCTCTATATGAGTAAAGGTGTCCCATATGCCAAAATGGGCCCAGGGTGGAAAATGAAATGAATTTGGGCATACCTGGACCTCTACCCAACGACAGGGGGACCACTCAGCCGCTTTCTGTTTAGAGGACTCCTTCCAGCAGTTCCATCGATCCAAAATAAATATATGTGTATGTAATAATCACAGGAACAGGAGGTTTTAGAAAGTTTAATGTATATGTAAACATGTAATCAAGTGCAAATGCTGCCTACAACCATTTATTTCAGTGTACCACACATCTGAAATATATAGCCTATTAAAAATAATGCTGTAGGCTTCCACGCTTCCTGGTGCATTTGGATGCAGATCAAGTTTACACCCAAGTTATTCATCCAACAGAAGTGATACATATGAAGATTGCTTTAACACAAGTATCCCTGGTTGAAGAAGCATTTGAGAAGGGAAAAAGCAAGTGGCCCTTGTGAGTGTGGATGATGCAAGTATTACACCAATAGGCAGATGGTGCTCTGCTGCCTTTAAAAACTACTACTGCCTTTGAATTAGTTCAGTGGAGAGGTATTGCTGTTTGTTACCTATCTGATGTTTATTGCTTTTTCCTTCTTGGCAGGTTTGCCTCGCTCGATTTGGATACACATCTGTGGTCATTCTACCCTATTCTGGGCACAATGGAGGGCAAGTTGCTCCAGTGTGGGACCATAGCTGCAAATGAGTAGATGGGCATCTCTTCACTGGGTGGGCAAAAGTGGCATGATGTGAGTTGTTGTCTACCCTTTGCTAGTTGCTTTCCACACTAGTGTCCAACATCTTGCTTTTACACCTTAAGGAGAATGATTTGGTTCAGCAGATTGAATTGTCCTTGAGCCACACTATTCAGCAGGATTTGGAATGGGTGAGAGCTTGGGTGCCTCAGCTCTTGGCTGTGATTCCAGGAACACCTGCTCCCTGTCCTGCAGGTTTTTTCCCACCTGGCCTGTGAAGATGGGGCCCTGAGTGACTCCAGCTACTTAAAAAAAAAAATCACTGTAAATTATCTATGGTCATACTACCCACAGCCTCCAAAATATAAATCAACAAGAGAAGCTTGACATCTATAGCTGAAAATCAAAGTCAAAAACTATCTGTTGGGATAATGTGTCCTCATATAATGCCCTTCTCCTGTGTTATTTGTGTTGCTAACTATAGCTCTTGCATATATAATCCCATTATACTTTTCTAAATCAGCGTTTTGAGAAATGGTTTTGAACCATTAATATATTTTCCTGGTTAAAATTCTTTGAGATGTTCTTAACAAGAGTCTTTGATAATGAATTTGGGCAAACTCTGGAACAGTCTTTACAGTATTATCATTCTCATTAATTTTCAGAACTACCCACTGTGTTGAGATGATTGTCATGGGCCTAAGACTTCAATTTGGCTAAATATTTTTGCATATATTTCAACATATAAGTAACTAACAGATGTTTAAATATCAAGTAGGCACCCTGGAAATGGTTAAATATTTACTATAATGCTATAATTTATTTTGCTGAACTCATCTTCACCTCACTTTTTCTGCCTTTAAAACATTCCTTTACTGTGCTCATCAACAGTAGACAAAAAGCTTTCATACGATGACAAAACATACTGGATTTAGTAAATACAGCTGTGTTAAAATCTATATATATAAAGATTCTAGAAATATGGAACATACCACAAATAAAAAATAAAAACAAATGGAAATGCTTAATGCACAGCAGTTATATAAACTTCAGACTACGTAAAATATTTCTAATTATTTGCATAAGATCTTTCAAACTCATGATTTCTTAAGGCTAGATGTTTGTTTTCTCTTAGACATACAACCATTTCTAAAATTATTAGAAGCTGCAGTACTCAAAATAATATTACTTTTGAAAGTTAACACTGACAATATGCACAATCCCACTTTAGTTCTACTTTTAAAAAATGCCTTTTTGTTATCTTTGAAGACTGCTTGTTTCCAATTGTTTCCTCCTTTAGCATCCTCATATCAGAGCAATAAGTATTTCATTACTGGTTTATCTGTCCAGAGGCTTGAGAAGCAGTAACAATTAACCCTCCCTTCACAGTGATTGATACAGGCTTTGCTTTCAATTTGTTCCACTACACAGATCATGAAATTCAGAATGCGATCATCCTTATTGACCTGTACCTTCAAACACATTGCTACAATGAGATGAAAGTAATTATTTAAAAAAGGAACACAGAACTATTCAATGCTAAAACAAGGCCTTCAAAAATCTTCTCTGATGACAGTCTAAGAAACTGGCAATATCAGAAATGAAATCTAAAGATGGATCTCTTTCTCAGTCTAGCAGTACTTACATTGAATGAAAGAATACTTTATTATCACCATCACTCAGCAATCTAACTCCTCCACCAACAAGGTACCAAGTGGACTGCAGGAAGATGGGAACGCCTGTGCAGAGCAGTTACTTAATACAAATCTTTCCTATTCCAACATAACGTCTTGATCCAAACACATGGTCCTAATCCACAGAATGACTTCCATTTAAATTAAGCTTATGTGCAACTGACTTTCTCTGGGTGGGGGCCATTCAACCCAGCCTGTATGTTAAAACACACCCTTTCCCTTTCCTTTTCCATTTACTAGAAAGCTCTACAGCAGGAAGTGAAAGGGTGACATGGACCGTATGCTTTCATTGCTCTTATATTCCACCTTCCCTCAAGACACTGTACATAGTTACATCACTTTTATCTTCACAACAGCCCTTTGAGGTGGTTAGGCTAAGAGATAGTGACTGACCCAAGGTCACCCACTGAGCTTCAAAGCTGACTACCTGGCTACCGCAACATTGCTCTTCCCCAGTTGGAAATGGGGGGTGGGGGGGGCAAGTGCAGCAACAAGTCGTCAGTGACTACGTGCTCTGCAAAACCACCCACCCCAAACCCACCTGCTTAAAGGGAGGAATCCCAACCTCCCTCCTGCTGCTGCTGCTTTCTTGCTTGTTCACAGACCCCTTTCTAATTGGGGCCAATTATACCTCGTCCCTCCATTAAGGGTTTGAGGTGACTTGCAAGAAAAGTTAAGATTAATGTGTAATTTTATACTGAAGGGTGTGAAGAACATATCCATACCTCACTAGTAAACACAGAACTTGTATACAGAAGGTCCCATGTTAGAATGATCCATAGCAGACGTGGAAGATCTCTTTGCCTGAGAAACTGAAGAGCCCCTGCGCATCCAAGTAGATTGAGGTACACAGGCAAATAGGCTGGAATTGAGTACAAGGCAGCCACCCAAGACTGCAATCCTAAGCAGAATTACTCAGTAAATATACTGAGTTCAGTGAGATTTACTTCTGCGTAAACAATCTTAGGATTGCACCACATGGACTGAAAAGCAACGGCTTTTACATACTCAAATTCTAATCCAGGGAATGTTGCTCATGCAAAAATAAAAATGACTAGGAAATATAATTTTAAAAATTTTGTAAAATATCACGTTTTGTAAAATAGCTAGGACGCTTTGTTTAATATAAGGATTAATGTGAAAGAAGCTAGAGCTGAAAATGGCATAGTAGAATGATGCTCTTCGAAGGCCCTGAATCACAAAAAAGTGATGAAGATGAACCAATACTGCATGGATTAGCAATGAATTATTTTGAACTAGAATCATGGACAAGCACAAAGGGGAGGTAAAAACTAGCCATTACTCAGAAGATGATCTACAGATAAAGGGGGGGGGGGGGTTAAAATGTGAAAAAATGTAAAGTAAGCTAGTACTGGAGTATTGTTACACCTTAAGCAACATTCTATTTATGTTTTTTGTGTATTGTACACTACGAGGCATTCACACATTATAATCCGCAAGTGCCTGGGTGACAGTAGGGTTAAATCAGGCAGCTTCTATGTAAACCAGCATAAAACAACAACACAACATTAGATGTCAAAGGAAGTCTTTGTAGGCTTAAAATCATAACAAAGGGAGTTCTGTTAATAGACTTAACTTTATAAGAAACTACATTGTCAATAGTTTTAATTTTTATAATTCCACTAACTCCCATTGGAGGGGAAAAAAGGGCTACTACCAAATTAGTATAGAAATTATTATTTTTTTCTTTAACTCAGGGGATGGGAGGTTAAAACTAATTGTAAGGGGATGGGAAAAAGGAAAGTAAGAAAGAGCTATTCACAGAAATTCCTGAGATTCTTATGAACAGACTGTTTAAATGAAGAGCACTTTAATCAGTAGAGGAATCCTCACGTTCCTAATGTCTTGCTGTGCATTCTGCAGGTTAGAGTAGCAGCTGGAAGAGGTCATATATCTTTTGTGAGCATCCCAAAAAGGCTCACTGCCAGACTGTTAAATTATGAATAAGCAATGAACAAAAGAATGCAGATACGGTACTGACAAGATAATCCAAGCAAATTTATCTATGACAAATTTCACAGGATTAACAAATTACATTTACACAGAACAATAAAAATCTGCAAAAAAAAAAGGAAAAAGAAAAGAAAAGAAAAAAAGATGAGCCTACTTTCCCTTAACATCAGGAAAGAAAGAAAAAAATCCAAAAGTGATTTCACAGCAGGTATTTAAATTATAACATTACCTAAAAAAATAAAGACATGTGCAGCACATTCGTATGTATATTTACATGGAAATAAGTCCAACTGCGTTTAATGGAACCTAGTATGGGGAAGCTATTTTTTCTCTTAAACAGATTGTAACAAATAAAGTGCACAGAATGCTTCAATGCTTCATCAGATAAAGTTTATCTATCGATTATTTGTTTCATACTGTATAACACTTAAATTATTAGCGTTCCTCATAACTACAATTAAGTTAGAAGCGCCAACAGCATTGTATGGCAAAAAAGAGAAAAACCAGAACTGTTACTTTATTGTCTCTTATTTAGTCTGTCAGGACAATCAACGTTAAACAGGAAAGCTTTAGCTATGACAAAATAAATTCTAGCTGCCTTTCCCAGAAGTAAAAAATAATAATACTTTTTTAAGGCTACCAAATACAGAATACAAATTAGAGAAGCATCTTAGTCATTTCAATTTCTTTTCATAGATTGCCACACTGGATTTGTTAAAAGTTACTGCAAACACTACTTGCAATGAATTGTTAACTGTTGCCTTGATCCTGAAAAGTTTGCCTTGCTGGAAACGGATGCAATAATGCAAGGATCAGCAATTACTAACTATCAGGTGTTCTGGGAAAGATGTTCACCCCACTTCAGTTGTAGATGTTTGCATGGTTGCTTATGACTGATTACACCAGATGTAGAGGCACATTCAGATGTGTATTCAGTTGAAAGTACTGAAGTGAAGACAAGACCACATCAGCATTTAGGTATGGATCTAGATAAATATCTAATTTATTACCATGATTCTTGATCTAAGAAACGATACAGTACAGTACAGATCTTCTAATCTTGAGCATGGGGAGGAATATATAATATAATACACACACAACATTGAACAATAAAGTATCTCTCTAGTCCATAATTCTGTTGCAATCAATGGCCATGCATATGCTTCCAGGATATTAAGGCAACAGGAACTCCAGTTGTACAGTATGACCATAGCAGCTAGAATACAAAGGTATACTCAGATTATGGTTGCAACTAGCTACAATTAAGCACCAAGAAGTCTTCATGTTAATTGGATTCCACCTTAACTGGTATCTTGTCTTTAAAACTTGTATACCATTATTCCATCATACAAATGCAGAATTCAAGCCAGAATATGACAACCTGGATTCTAAATAGATTAACCAATTCCTGCAACAGAGTTTGGGCACTGAAACCCACTGCAATTAGTGGACTTACATGAAGTTAGATCTGTGTTTGATTTTGGCTATTATGTGGAAGTAATTTTCATTTATATCAATAGGACATACTTCTGTGGTCTGTGTGTATATATACAGTACAAAAGTATTTTGATTCAGAAGGGTTGCCACATAAGGAGAGCCCCGCATAAAAGCAGTCTATGAAACTGGCACTCGTTATTTTGAGGGATGGTGAGCACACAGATCAAATATGGCTCCAATGCTCGGGGGCTGGCAAGGTGGAGCAATTCCAATTCCCCCACCACACAGAAAATTGGGAAGATCTGCTTTTAAACTCTGAGTATTCGACCAGAACAATTTTTAAGCGCCTGGGAAAAGCAAAGTTAAATCAGACAGCTTATGTTAGTGCTTAATTTTTTTTATCTCTAATGTGTCATTTATTTCTAGCGGGATTTCAGCATAGCTTGTTTTCTCTGCATTGTGCATATCACACAAACTCCCTGGCTCTCGTTCATACACAATGGGTTCACTGAAACCAACAGTTCTTACTTTAGTAATGACAAGCCCCACTGATTTCAAAAGATCTGCTTTAAGTATGAGTCTCGATCCAACGAAGTTTCTGCAATCCTGAATAGCGTTTCATTACAGTAAATAACTGGTGCACTGAGTGCCATATGTACATCTGAACCCCCATGGAACTCAGATTACAGCAATCCACTTTAAATTACAGAATTTATCAACTATCCCCTCCCCTACTGATTTATATACTGGTATAAACTAAAACTACTTGCTTTTATTTCAAATATTTTCTCTTTACAAGAGTATACATGTTCTTGCCTATTCAGTTTTTAAAATAATATCTTTAAAATATATATTAATGTAAAAATCTACCGTATTTACTTAAGTCTAATGCGCCATCGAATCTAATGTGCACCTTAATTTTTGCAACATAATTTGGCCAAAAAAGGTGAGCATTAGATTCAAGTAAATACAGTAATAAAAATAATCCTCTTCCGCACAAGTAAATGTTGCTTACATAGCAAACATGTTTCTTACAAAGTAACCATGAAACATTATGGTTATTAAAGTGAACATCCAGTCAACTAAAATGCTTTTAATATAAACTTTGCATCTTCAAATAATAGCATTTGAATGCAATTATTTCATCTATGCTGCCAAAATGTAGGGTAGGAAACAAAGTGATTGGGTGTCATACCAGAAACATATGCTTTGTTAAATATTAAAGACAGTGGGAAAAAATATGAATGAATGCAAATATATTGACATTCACATTATTTTGGCAGGTTTATGATCCTCTCTGTTTCCTACAAACAAAGCATTAATTCATTAATACCAGTTTTCAGAATCTCTTTGTGAACCTGTAGTTTATACAGAACTGAAGCATAGCAGCCAATTCTGTATCCAGTGATACTTTTCACAAATAGGATCAGCCACTTTGTGCCATTATGAAGGTTAAGGGATAAACAACACACTCTACAAAAGTCCTTTTTTTATCCCACAGCCAATATTGTAAACATTCAGTCGTTCAGCCCTTTCCACTGACCTCCACCTTGACCTATAAAGACTATTACCTACAAGTGGTTGAGTATTTTGTGTTTCTCTACAATGCTGCAAGCCTATTCTTTCCTTGGGGAAAAAAGACTTTTATTCCAAAACTTAGCAAATTATACAGTTATGTTGAAATGGCATTCAAACTTAAAAGGGTAATTCTACAACAAACTGTATCATTTAAGCTAGTGCACCAGAAACGTGAACTTTAATCCAAGTGAGATTCAAAAGCTTAAGCGGCATGAATAGACAAGGGTGTGAAATGAAGCAATGAAAACCTCTGGTTTATATAAAGTACAATGTCAATGTTGCGTTCTCGTTCTCAAGCATATATTAACCATTACCAGCAATTTGAATGACAAATCTATACTTTTCAATTTACACAAATGCACAATTCCACAAAAGCCACAATTTTATCAAGTTGGGGGAGCCTCCAATCCTCTGTTTAAGTCTTCCTTTCCTTGTTGAGAAACTGAACAGTGTTTATTAAGTTGTTGCAGCAGAATACAGGCTTCCCAGCACAAGCTAGTGTATCTGATGTGATTATTAGCTCTCCTGCTCTCAAGTAGAGGACCTAATATATCTCCAGATCCCTTGCCCAGCATTGCAGAATTAGCCACCGGTTGGAAGATGACCAGAGAAGAGACTGTCTCTTCTCTAGATGAAAAACCTTGCAGGCCTCTATCTAAAGCATTAGTAAACTGACCGGTCTCTATAATCCTGCCAAGTGCTAAAGAGATTTTTTAAAAATAAAATAAACTTTAGGGCAGATTATTCACAATACATGAAATATATACTCCAAATAGTGGACAACAGTTTATTTTCTTCAGGATTTTGAAACTATAAAAGCAACCTAACCTTCTACTGATATGATTGTGATTTATTTATTTTTTCATGTATAGGGACCTACCAGCCCTACAAATAAGTTCACATAATCACTGACCTCCAAAAATATTAGTCACTTGCTATGGATACATATGCTGATTTTTAAAGCACCGGGGGGTGGGGTGTTAGGAAAACTCATTGGTTAAAAATACAGGTTACTAAAACCAAGCTGTTCCACAATTTACATTTTTTTAAATTGAAAAGAATCACAAAGATAGATAGATAGATGATAGATAGATAGATAGATAGATAGATGATAGACAGATAGATATCAAGCCCAGCAATGCATATGAGTGTTTCACTTATCATTCCCCTTCACTGTTTCTAACTGATTAAATATATATCATGGTTTTTTCCCAAATTTGCTCCTATTTACAGCAAAACTATTTGGGAATTTTCAGGTAAGTATCTACATCTCTCCTCTCATCCTTTAATTTGACAAGGTTTAATTGTGAGGCCTCAGTGTCTGAAAAGGGGATTCAAGCAAGAGATGGTTTCTGAGAAATAGCAATTTGAATTTTCCCATACCACGAAATAGTACAGTCTGACACAGCCCTCTAACACCATATAAGAAACAATTAATTCATAAGGGAGCTGCTGCAAATGTGATCAGCTATTTTATTTATTAAAATATATATGAATTGCTTTTTTGCCCACAAGGCGCTCTTAAGTGAAATACAAGATAACAAAATATAAGGCAGCAATTTAAATTTAACAAACCATTATTAAAACAAAAGCAGAAAGCAGAAATTAAAACCCATCAAAAGCCATGTAAAACAATTTTTAGCTGGGGCCAGCATGACCTTCCTACGGTGGAAGTTCCACAACATGGGTGCTACCACAAAAAAGGCCCTACCTAGTCTCTAGTGGGAAATACAGTAAGATTTCTGATAAAGATCAAAAGCACTGATTAGACTCACATGAGAGGAGGGACTTCAGACATCCTTCTCCCATAATGTTTAGAGCTTTGTTCAAATGGGCACAATTCAGATAACATTAGGGTGGCGCCATGGTAAACCTCTCGTTGGTGCCATGCACTTTATTTTCATAAAAGCCAACAAATGGGAAAAAGCAGAAGGTAAGTATTTTATTTATGTTGAATAAGCGTGGACCCAGTCTGTGTGCTGTATATTTTTGTTGAAACCTCAATTTGATTACGGTGAAGTTCACCTTCTACATAAATGTATGCATGCCTGTAGCCAATATATATATTTCCCTACCCCTAGCTGCATATGAACTGGGTATTATGATATTCATACACAATGCATAGAACTACATTTTGGGTTGGGAGGATAAAATGAGACTGTGGTGATGCTACCTTGAGCACCCTAGGAGAAAAGGCAGGATTTACATATGATTAGCTGCATTTTGATTTATTTAGTCTCAGATTTGTATACTATATTACTGAAGAAATGTATATTATATCTAGAGGGTGGGAAATGTAAATAGTAGGTCACATGGTAACAAAATGCAAAAAATATAGTGTGTTAAAATTTTAATTGTATATAAAATAAACACAGGGACTTCACAGCAGCTGTAATTGATAACACAACACGAACGTCCTAGCTAAGTGAATGAACACCAGCAGTTGGATAAAAGCCCAGTATCTCAATTCAATCCAGAGGTGATATAACTGAACTTCTTGCTAAGTTGTAATTCAGCAATTTCACACAGTAATACCTCTTCAAGGTTTCGTTCTTCAAGAACAACCACTTTAAGATCAGCAATTACAGGTCCTGGGAAATGTTCCCCTGCTGGGGGTTTCAGTTGAATCCAAACAGTACCAGGTCTAATTGTTTTCTGTTGAAGAGGCACAGCAGTGAACAGAGAAAATGGTACAAGTAGATTCCCCTGTCCTATGTCATGTCACTAACTGGGGACAATTAGTACTCCATCTTCCTACAAGGAATATTAACTTTCCAGTAAGCATCCATTAAATTTGATCAAAATATCCCTCATCTTGGCTAGTATCTTAACTTCTCTCCCTCACGACCAGGTACTTTCTCATTTAACCAAATCAATTAATTTTCTGTATATTTATTTCAGTTTGATTTATAATGATTTGTAATGATTTTCAGCCCTAAAATGTGCCCCCAAAACTGTTTACATAAGAAAGCAAAACCATGCAATTCACCGTTCTTTAACAACGAAACCTTCTAATCAAAACAGAGTTAAAACCTTCCATCGTATATTTAAAAACCACATAAAACCTAGTCTTCATGTTATTAGTGGCTGCCAGATTAGTTATTGCCCATTATTGCAAGTCTCCTGACACTTTACCATTTGAGGCATGGCTCTCCAATGTCTGGAGCATCACTTTGTTGGAACGCTTGACCAGACACAGTGGTCTGGGGAGAGGCTAAATCTGACAATTTTGATGCAGATTGGTTTCCCTTCCTTGAATATATTAACAGGGAGGGATCTTCCCATATCCCTTTGGCTTCTCATTCTTCATTAAGGTTGGGCTATTTAAATAGCATCTGATATTCAGTGAAGTATGATTGCAATTTGGTATACCGGTTTGCTGTTGTGATTTCAGTCTGCAACACTGTATTACTTTGTTATTGGCTGCTTGCTTTTTTCGGTGTCTGCGTGTTTTTGTATGTCACAAAAATTCAATGAAAAGTTGGAATGCATATATTAAAAACCTATAAAATCCACATGGAAAAAGAACACTTCTGCTGCCTACCTAAGTGTCATCAGGGACGGAACTAGTCTCACCTTTGGGGGTGAGAATTCCACAATCAGGGAGCTGCCCCCACACCCACCTTGCATATCTATAGTTGGTGAGACTTATAATGTGCAGTTTCCATTCAAGCGCACATTTTGGCGCCAAGCCCAGTGAGGCTGAAAGGGGAGCTGCTGGGCGTCCCACCCATGGTTGCAGGGGGAAAGAAAATGGAGCTTTGGAAAAAGCCACGGCTGTGCTATTTAATAAACGCCACTTCCCTTATGCCCCAGGTAAGCGGAGATTATTTTCTGCCCTGTGCAGACAGAATTCAGTTGATCCAGACCACAAGCAGGCCTCTTCTGTCTAATACTGTATTGTGCCCTAAACAGGAATGTGAGAGTTCTGTTTTTAATGACTGTTACTTTGTGAATAATTTACTCCTGTATTTGTTTTAATCACTGATGTAACTGCTTTGCTTATCTTTTGTTATACATTGCCCTGGACTCTGTTCAAGGGAGGATGAGTCATAAACAAAATAAATGATGATGATAATAATATTATGATAAGAACAAAACAAACTTAAATCATTCTTTCTATTAAAAAAAAAGGTGAAGAATCCTGAAGTAGCTCTAAAGAACTCTGGGTGCCTCTGATCATCGGTTAGATCAAGTAAAATAAGGAATTTATTCACGCAGTATCTTAGAAGTTTTGCTCTATGCAAAAATGGAACAAATGTGAACTTTCGTAAGAAAATTAAATCTCTTCCTTTAAATGAACCAGACTCCATCTTTTTTTAAAAGTTCCGTTACAAATTTGAGAGTTTAAATGCATACACAATGGCTGCAGCAAACAAGAATTTTGAAATCAACCTTGTGAAAGAAGTAAAATACAGGAAGATAAGAACAAAAATGTGATATATGTAAACAGTTTATTCCTACCAAACGTGTGCACTCAATTAATTCTGGCTTTTCTTTAACGACAACAGAGCTTAAATGTATAGTCCCAGCAAGAGGGCCTATATTTTTCATGTTTAAAAGAAGACGCTATTCCCAGTATAGTGTATATTTCAGTGTAATACACAACCATATCATAAATTATTAATGAATACTTTCACTCAAAGTCCTGTTAAAATAAAGGGCACAGGAGAACTATTCATTCAAAAGCACTTTATACATTGTGAAACTACTGATCATACTGGTCACAAAACAATGTTGCAGTCACATCTGATACAGCAGCTTTCATATCCATACGGTGTTATCCTCCTGCAAATTTATATGGTATTACAACAAATTATGATTACCCTATCAAGGTCTCTAGGCATCAATAGTTCAAGCATCTCATTCTAACTATAAGCAATCTATATCAAAGCAAAAGGTGTTACAAAATATCCTATTCTATTCAGGTTGAACAACATAGAAACATTTCATTTTAATTATCAGTTTAAAGCCCTTATCAACTATAAAGTATCCAGCTGTATTTTGCAAATACTTAAGAAAAGTACTGATGAGAGCTACTGAATTTGTTGCTATTTAGTTCCAAGGGAATGGGTTATAAGACAGCAACTTGTGGTATAATATTCAGATTGATTGACCATAGGCGAAAGTCTCATGTGTTATCATACATGCAAAATATTCCACTAGAGCACCTCATGCTTATCCCCTCCTCCACACCTGAAATTAGATGGATATAATCAAAACGGCTCCTAACTAACACTAACATCAAAAAACTTTCCATTATGCAATGGACAATTTTCTTATATCAATGTTGGCTAAAACGAAGTCTAAACGTTAACTAACAGGTGAAAAGTAATTTCTAATTATTGTGCATCTAGCAGTTCACAGT